TCATGTCTCCTGCCTGGATCTGTTATTATCTCGCTCTAAAGACGGAGGAGTGTCAGAGGTTAGCTCGTTTCAACTGCATTTTACGACATGGTCTCATTTCCGGACTCAGGCATTTTGTGAATGAAGCCGATATTTCGGTTAAAACACATAAGTAAAAATATTTATCCGAGTATAGTACTACCCCCCAACTTTATGGATGATTTTATGAATTTAATTTTACGTATTATACTTGAATAAATACGGTAATAAATATATGTATGAATATCCAGCTGGTCAGAACTCATTGATTTGTATGAAAACAACGCAAAATACTTATTTTAAGCCACTGTTTTAATCATTTAAAGTATTTATTTTAAATGTCCATAACTATAAAATTCATAATTTCCTCAGCTTTATTTTGAACCATAGTGTGTAAAAATCGAGCAAGAAATAAGGAAGTTATAAAAGTTTTTCATCAGGAAGACGTCTCARAGTCCATTGACCTCCATTCATTTTGTTGAGGCTCCTCAATGCACAACAGAGCTCCAATGTGTGCACGTCAATGTAGCAACGCCCAATCCAGTAATACATATCAATGTCTCAGATCCTCAGACTGTCTACCTCCAGCTGTCTTTATGTTGTCATCCAGTGTGAGGGGGCGGGGTCTAAAATACACCAACATGTCTCTGTTCTGTGAGACCTCACCTGTTCAGTTTTAGTCTGGAACTCTCTCAGCTCGTCCTCGGTCAGAGGCTGGAAGTTGTCGTCGTTTTCTGGGTACTCCTGCCAGCCCATGGCCTTCAGCAACCTGCAGGATTCTCTGCTCAGCTCAGTGTGCACGTGACGGGGATGAACATGAGAGACGGGTTTTTTCAGCTGCGTCTTACCTGTGCTCTGCCTCCAGGGAGCTGGACAGGTGCTCGATGTCCGAGTCGCTGGGGGAATAGGAGAGACCGTTCTCGTGGCACACCTCCTCGCTGTAGGCTTTGGGCTCTGGGGTGCTGCCTTCGCCCTGAGAAACGTCACCARGTGTCGTCAAAAAACACTCCCAGAAAACAACTACTTAAAGTGATCCTGTGAAGGCGGACCGCACCTCTCCTGATGTCCCCGGGCTGCTGCTGGTCGTCATCTCTCCGGTGCCCTCGTCCTTCAGAGCTCGCAGGAACTCGCTCTTACGATCCGGGCCGCGGCGCATCAGCTTCAGCCTGGATGGAGCGATGTCTATGGGAGGAGTCGTGCTGGAGGGGAGCTGCAGGTTTCAGCAGAAACAGACAGACATTTATTATGTTTATCAAAACAAATGAATGTAGAATGTGTACATTGATTAGGGATGCTACCAAAAAACTGTATTTTTTCAGTACTGGTTCCACATGATGAATTTTGACCGGATAAATAAGCTCCAGAATTAACGGTAAAGGAATAGTGACATGACAAATGCAGACATGGCACATCAGAAGAAGCTCTGTTGCCTCTCTCCCCTCACTCTGAGCTCTCCTCAACACGGAGGGGAGGAGGAGCTGCTAGCAACACAGGCTGTTAGCAACCCACTACCCGCATGCGCAGAAAAAGACGTGACGTCTCATTCGTTCAGCGCAGTGTTTACAGGAGTAGCCTATGGAAGCTAGTTGTTAGCATGTTGATTCTGAACTCTGTGCAGTCAGAGCTGATTAAAAAATTATCTGACCTGCTCGTTTAGTTCAGTGTTTATATCTGAACCTGCCTCTGCCCGGAGGCTCCGGTAAAGCCTTTATTTTTGGAACGTAGCGTCATGTTTAAACTAAAGTATAGATTGAGTAACTTTAGCAGTGACCGCTTGACGTCACTATCACATTTTTCTGTGGATTATCAGTCAGCAAGGATATCATGGAAAAATTAAGACAAAAAGATGAAGCAACTGAATTTCTGCTCTGTGTCTGAAGACAGGATTTACATCATGACTCCAGGTTAGTGCAGTTAAATGTCAATTAACGAATAAGTGGCTTTATTGTATTTTATTTTATTTACAGTAAAAGCATTGCATATTCATAGTTTGTTTTTGTTTAGCGTTTCCCCACCAATAACCAAGCACACCACACAGACAATTTCAGCCATGTAGTTATTTATTTATTCTAAATAACACCAGATCATATTGAGAGCTATTTTTGCAGTTGTTCCTCCACATCCACCTCTCT